CGAGAAATAGTAGTTCCTCTATGCTCCTCACTAGTCAGACCTCACCTGGAATACTGTGTCCAGTTCTGGGCACCAACATTTAAGAAAGATGCAGAAGAATTAGAAAAGGTCCAGCGGAGGGTAACAAAAACGATCCAGGGTTTGGAAACTCTGCCCTGTGAGGAGGGACTGAGAGAACTGGGCATTTTCAGCCTTGAGAAGCGAAGACTGAAGGGGAACATGGGATACCTCCATAAGTACCTCCAAGGCCACCACAAAGAGGAAGGCCAAGGTCTCTCCTCGCTGATCCCAGAGTGCACGACTCGGAATAAACAATTCAAGCTACAACAACCCAGATTCAGGCTGGGCATCAGGAAGAGCTTCCTCGCTGTCAGAGCAATGCGGCAGTGGGACCAGCCGCCCGGAGAGGTGGGGGGCTCTCCCACACTGGGGACACTCAAGGTGAAACTGGGCAGCCATCTGAGTGGGATGATGTGAACTGGTGTCCTGCAAGAGCCGGTGTCGGACTCGATGGCCTCCATGGCCCCTTCCATCTCTCCTATTCCATGATTCTGTGATTCATTAATCTCTCCGAATCCGTTCCAAGATGCTTTTGGAAAGGCAAAGGCTGCCTGGCCTGGCCTGGCTGTCGAAGAAGCAGCGCCCTTGGAGGGGAAGCTGGCCAGTGCTTCCTGGGCAGCCTCTTCTCCCAGGCCAAGCAGTGACTCCCAGGCCAAGCAGGGACGCTCGGCGATGGCAGAGAGAAGGGCGCTGAGGAGGGACGAGCGCCTGTGTCCTGGGGTGCCCCAGAATACCACCTGCGTTGGCTCCCCGAGCAAAGCCTGGCTTTAAATTGGGCCCTGCGGCATGAGAGAAGCCCTGCAGGAGTCCGTTCGCCCCGCATCCAGGTCCTGGTGTTTGCAAGCAGAGCAGGGGTGGCCTTGTGCAAATCGGGTTCTCGCAGGATGCCTGACGGGCCCAAAGAGCGGCTGCGGTGCTGCCGTTTCTGCAAAGGCACGTCGGATCGCACCCTGTGGCTACGGACGGCCGCTTTGGGGTGGGCGGGAGGCAGGAGGGAGCAAGCCCCAGCAAGTCTCCAGACTGGAGCAGCTCGGGCCCCCGGGATTTCTCTCCGGAATAGAAGCAGCCCCTGTTAGCAGACTGGTCGGAAAGTCTGTTAGACCGAGCCATTGCTGCAGCCAGTTTGCCTCAAGAGCTCACAGCACGGAGAATGAAGTTCATGGAGGTCGGGGGCTCATCACCTCGGCTCGATGTCGGCACCTTTTCCACTCACCTCCAGAGGGGGGGCTGCACCGGTTTGTTTCAGTAAAAGTGGCACATTCTGGTGGCGCCTTAGAACTGGCCACGTTTCCTCTGGTCTTCCGAAGATTGATGCCAGAATAAATTTGTCAGGCTTTGGGATATTGCGAGACTCCCTGTTTTTCACAATAGCAAACAAACAAAAGCCAAGATTGAAAAGGTCAGCAGTGTGTCGTTTCTTAGCATTCATAACTCTGGCATTTGGGGGCTGGCGGCACACGATCGCCCGAGCATCGGTGCACCCACCTGAGCGCCTGCTCATCTCTGACAGATGCTAATCAGGGCGGCAAGCATGATGGACTCGCAGACCTTTAAATGATCGTTAGCGATGGCCCAGAAAAGCTGAAGCGGCATCCATCAAGCGTTCTATGCCAGCAGCCTCTGCTGAGGTCCAGGACGCTACCGAGGAGGAACGAAACGAAGTAAAAGTGCCCTGTTGGGTTGCAGGAAGCCCCGCATCCAAATCCTGGCTCCTCCTGGTGGGGCTGGAACAAAAACTCTGGCCAGAAACCCGGGAGGGTGGACCCAGCCTGTCAGTGCTGGCAAAAGGGAGTGAAAGGGGCTAAAGGGTCAGGATCATTTCCCTGTGGCTGCAGAGGCCGCGCAAAGAGCAGAACGCAACACAGGAAGCGGAGGAGATTTTGCCTGGCAGCCTCCACATGCCAGGGGGTGGCTTGTCGTTCGGTTTGCCCTGCCTTGGAGCGCACAGTCCGGACGCACTGGCGTGTGAGGCTCCCGAATGTGGCTCCTGAGGAGTGCGGGGGCGAAGATGTGGAGGACGGCCATTTGAGGCAGGCGCGTGGAGCTTGTGGAAGCCCACAGCTTGTGGGACTGTGATTCCAACCGTCCCTGAGCTGGAACCCAGGAGCCCTGGAGGGCCACACGCTGATTTGAAAGGTGTGGACGTGATGGTTGAATTAAGCCCCCACCTTCGGCCATGGGGTGCTTCCGATTTGAGGGAACCGCCACTCGGGGACCCCACTCCCACTTAGCCTTTACGGAGCATCCTCCAGGGCGGCTCTTCCCATATTCTCAGCCTCCAGGAACTTGCGCTGCCCCAGAGGAGGTGCCAGAGGGTTCTGTAAGTACTGCTGTTGCTATTGCTATCATTTTGAAGCGCTAAAATGCAATGTACAACTAAAGCCAGATAATAAGGATGCAAAGAACGTTGCACATGAAGGCAGAGGGCAGGGAGCACCCCCTGCCCCAGGCAATCCACAGAGAGGCTGCTGGAGGGGAGATCGACCCCCTGCCCTGCCCTGCCCCCGGCCGAGCCCTTCCCGACCTTCCTTCGTGTGTTACTTTCCTGTGCCAAACCGATGGACACCGGACACTCCTGGGCGATGGGGAGCTCAGGGCAGGGCAGAGCTGCAACCTCAGAAAGGCCGGGACCCAGCCTGCCTCCGCCCTTGGCGCCGCCTGGCTCCTTGCACCCTGGCTGGGCTCCGAAGATGGAAGGCCGTTGCTGGAGCCGAGGGGAGTGCCAGGTGGAGGAGCAGCGCTGCCCCTCGGAGGATCCCGCGGCGCCTTGGCCGTTGCTCACAAGGAGCGGCAGGGCAGAACTGAGCCGTCAAAACGTTTGGGGCGAGGAGAGCGCAGAGGCAGCCCTGGCCTTGGCGTCCCTCCCCTCCTCCACTGGCGCCTGGACACCTGCAGGTTCGGAGGGCTACAGGGGGCCGCGTCCGACAGCCCCCAAAAGTGCTCAGAGCACTCTGCACATGCAGCAGGAAAGCAGCCTGTGTGCTCTCAAGCAGACGCATGCAAACTCAGGGAGGCATGGGAAGGAGGGATCGGAGGCTGAGCTTTCCGAGAGGCCGTTCGTTGCCTCCTGGTTCCTGGGGGCAGCCTGCGCTTGAGGGGCTGCCAGAAGACTGCCTGCTCCCCCGAAGGCCTGCCCAGCCCAATTCCAGTTTAAAGATAATGCACCATTGGAACTGCTGCCTGTCATGCCTGGGCACCTGAGCGGCAGACGAAGCAGGCCGGCTGGATGAGGTTCCATTTGGATGCCAGGAAGCACTTCCTGGCAGTCAGGACCCCGAGGGCATGGAAGGGGCTTCCACGGGGGGTGGTTGAGGCCCCGTCGGTGCGGGTGTTCAAGGACAGGCTGGACGTGCACATGGTGGGCATGTCGTGGGCAGAGCCGGCTGGAGCCGGGGGTCAGACTAGATGGCCCGGGAGACCCCTTCTGACTCGCTGTGTTTCTATGCTGCTATGTCTTCCGCATCATGAGGAGATGTGCAATGTTTCTGCTTAAATTATATCAAGGATTTTAAAATGTGCATATACACACATCTTAGAGGACAGGGTGATGTCATCTGAAACCTCTGTGAAAATAAACCAAGGTTTGCAGAAAGGTGTGAACGAAGGTTGGGAACGAGGAGCCATGTGGAAGTGTTTGCCCTGCCTCGCCCAACTCACACATTCACTCGCGTGTGCGGGCACACCCTTGTTTGACAGGATGCTGGCTGGGATGGGCTGGCAGGTGTCGGGAAAGCCTTGACGGCAGACGCAAGACGGGGGGGGGTACCCGGGGCCCATCAGGAAAGGCCCCTTTCGCCTTGAAGCCAGCAGTTTATTGGAAGGTCACCCAGGCCCCTGCGGTGACTCATGCCGGCATGCGCCCTGGCAGTGGTTCTCACCGCCAACTACAAGTTTTTAGAGCATACACAGAGTGTTTTATAGATTCCGAGTCACATGGGCCCAGCAGCTGGGCCGTAGATGGCGAAATAAGGGGAGCAGGGTCAGAAGAAGGGGAGGGGTCTGCAGAGGGGGCTCAATGCAATGCCATTGATTGCAGGAGGTTAACATAACGATCACTGAGGCACGGGAATTATTGTGGGTCTTTTCGAACATGCACAGAGTGTTTTATAGATTCTGAGTCACAGGGGCCCAGCAGCTGGGCCGTAGATGGCGAATAAGGGGAGCAGGGTCAGAAGAAGGGGAGGGGTCTGCAGAGGGGGCTCCGTACGATGGCATTTGATTGCAGGATATGAACATAAGGATCATGGGATTTCTGTGGGTCTTGGCATGCAAATGAGGGTGCTGGCATTAACCCGGCAGCCTGACCAGCTCCTCCTGATCGGCCAAACAGCAGCCCTGGCAGCTCCCTGGGGAAGCCATCAGGTCCCACTTCTTAAAGCATGGCTCCTCGCACTACGGCCCGCGGACGGATCCGGCCCGCCGTGCCCGTTCATCCGGCCCGGCTACCCCCCGCCACCTGCGTGAGCACTCGCCACGCGGACAGGGAGGCAGTGGCTCGCTCGCTCGAAGATGGTTTTGGACTCGCTGGGAAATCTCCGAGCGAGCCGCCACTGGCACGCGCGTCCAGCACCACCTCGCATGCACCCACTGCTGTCTCACTGGCCCGTGCCCCCCGGCACCCCCCCCCACGGCCCACGCCAGTCACTGCTGCCTTTCAGCTAGTCCCCTGTTGAAAAAGTTTGAGGACCCCTGTCTTAAAGTGACAGCAAATGCTAAAGCGTGACCCGGCTCGGGATTTTGGGGTGCTTCCTGAGGAAGGGGTGCAGGCATTGTATAACATGAAGGCACGCGAGTGACCCTTTCTGCCGGGATTCATCTGCACTTTCCCAACACAGGGGTGCTCCAGGGCCGTCTCAGCAGCACGATGGGCCCGGGCAAAGCCGTGTCCTGGGGCCCCACAACGGCTCCCGTGGGCTCACCACCTTGCTCTTCTCTCGCAGGATGCCTTGCTGAGCCTGGGCTCCATCGTCGACGCCTCCAGCCTCCGGGAAGTGATCAAAGATGCCATTGCTTCGGTGCTCCCCAAAGTGGTAAGTAAGGGCCGTTCTGTTGGGGGGGGGGGCACGAGGGCGGGCAGCATCCTCTGCCTTCCAGCCGGATTTGCTGGGTGAGGAAGGCTGAGAGCAGGAAAGCACAGGAGAGAAGGAGCGCTGCATCTCCGACCTTGGAATGCGGGGAGCGCAAAGGCTGGCTCGCTCGGAGCGTGTCCAGCACGGCTAGGGCCAGGCGTGCCTCAGGAGGAGTCGCGATGGATGGATTCCCAGTGGCCCTCCCGGGTGGCGCGGGACTCGCTGGCCATGCTTCCTGGGACTGATGGGAGTTACAGTCCAGCCACAGCTGGGGAGCGGATTCCCCAGCCCCGAACCGCAGCTCTTCCAGGATGCAGGTGGGGAAGCTTCCTCCAAGCCGTGGTGCCCTGGCGCCATTTTAGACGGAGGTGTGGGCCTGGGTGCGGGGTGGGCTTCTGCACCTGCTGCTCTGGCTCCTCTCCTCTCCTCTCCTCCTCCCACCACGAATTCGCAATGCACGTTCATTCACTCCTCGAGGGCAGTTTACGGAGGAGCTGCTCGTTAGCAGGACGTGTGTTCAGGGCACCACGCCGTTCGGCTGGCTTCTGCAGCAGGCAACAGAGGCGGCCACGAGAAAGGTGCTTTTTCTGGCTAGGGTGCCCGGTGCATTTTGTTTATGAAATCGCAGCTACTTGCTGGACGTTCCTCTTGGCATCTTGAACTGCGCTTCTGCTGACGTCTGGGGGATCCGTATGTTGATGAATGGATGAGTCTAATGTGACTGGTTGACATTCCCGCTCTTCAGCCACAGGGAGAGTAAAAGGAGGCCATGCATGATAATTCTTGCACTCCCCCAGTCGCAGGTCCGAGGCTCCCTGGGGCCGGGCGGTGAGGCGGAAGAGCAACATGCGCATTCTCATTGCTTGGGCGCGCCGCACCTCCTGCCAGGCCTGACGGTCCAGCCACAGAGCGACCTGTTGAGCAATGCAGCACAAGTGACTCTCGGAGCTGCCGGGGCCTCGAAAACCCTTCAGCTTTGATCCACTGGTACTGCCAGAAATATGCGGGTCCAAGGGCTCTGCCAGCTGGATCAAACCCAACCCGGAACACTTTTGCTGAGCCGTGACCCTCCTTCCTGGGCTAATTAGCATGTTGCAAAGATGAGGCTCCGAAAATGTGTTGGCTTGCACCGAACCCAGAATGCGATGGCCCCCCCGTTGCCCAGAGGCGGATCCCTCAAGAGCCATCCTGCCACAGGATGGGGACTGACCCCTACCCCATCGGGCCCGGGGTTCAAATGCAGCTCTCCGTTTTCCTTAGATCCCCTTTGCTGGTCCCCATCCCGTTTCCCTGGCCTCCCGACTGTCCACGGACTGGAAGTTTCCCGGCTTTTGTGGGTTCTTCTCCATTCTGAAAGGTTAAACTCCTTTTGAGGTTTAATTTCTGGTCCTAAGAGCTTAGGCTAGACTAAGCCGGCACTCTGTGGTTTTGGCTCGGCATCCTTGCCCTTGCCCCTGCTCAGCACCAGAAAGTGGTTGTTGCTACACTTTTAGAACACTCTTCAGTCCATTTGGGCTCTCCGGGCGGTTATGGATTTAAAAATATACATGGAAGCAGCAAAATAATCATATTTAGCAAGCAAAAAACAGTGAGTGCAGCAACGGATCAGCAACCGATGGCCAAGCGTCCCCGGCCCCAGTTGATGGGATGGTGACATGAAGCGGGCTCCACGCTGTTTCGGAAACGTGGCCTCGGAAAGTAGTGGTTGGTCTGCGCAGGCCTCGGGGGCGGAAGGAGCAGGGCTGGCCGAGGCCGCAGAGGATCCCGGAGGTGGCAGCGGGAGCCGGTGGGCAAGATGGCTGCGCCCCAAGGCCTGCCTGGCTCCCCTTCAGGGTGGGGGAGATGGGGCCCCATTTCCACTCCCAGCCAGTGGCTCTTGGGAGCACCCAAGGGGGGGGGGCACCGTCTGGTCCTTCACCTTCGGTGGCCGGCGCTCTTGCCTGGCCTCGGGGAAGAAGGCCCTCCGCCCTCTGGCCTTCCCTCCCTCCTGTCTGTCTCCTAGCCGGGTTTTCTTGCAACAGCCATGCTAGAAAATGTGCAAGGAAGTTTCTCTGGGCGGGAGCGGTCCGTGGGGGGGCTTCACTGCATGGCTGCCTCAGGCACTTGTGAGCCGATTTGGACACTGCTCTCCCTGATTACTCCCAAAGCAGGAGCCAGACACAACCGGGAGGAACGTTCCCACCGCCCTGTCCATGCATCCAGCAAGACTTATGGCCCCTTCTGTCCACACGGTTCGGGGCTGGCAAAGAAATCCCATGCATTTCTGTGGAGGCAGAAATGGGAACAGCCAGGCACGGTCTGGTCAGACGCACACACCGGCGGGAAGGGAGGGCTGAGGCTTATGGGCACAGAGGTCCTGAGAGCAGGGAAGCCTGCGGTGCGGGGGGAGGCATGCGCAGCTGCAAAAATGGCTCCTTTGGACCCACATTCTCTTGCCGTCATGGTGACTCACGATCCTCTGCACAGTGGGTTACAGGGCGGGCTTGCCTGCAAACCTGAGTGTATGGAGGGCGGGATACCAAGCAGTCTTGATCTCCACTGGGAAGCTTACTTTCGGACCCAGCAGCAACTCCCGAGGGCATTCGAGACCGGCTCTTTTCCACGTCCCCCAGAATCCCACGCCCCTCCAACGCCCTCCTTCATGCCGGCGCAGAAATGGCCGTGAAAATGAGCGCCGTGCAGGCATCCGGCTGGCAGGTCTGCCCGGGCCGCTCGGTCAGGAGTCCAGCCTGCCAGCTCTGACGGCCACGCAAGCCACGCACCGCGACTCCTGGCAGCAAACGCCACCTCCGCAAGGCATGTTTTTCTCTTCCAACCCCAACCCGCAATGCATCGAGAAGGAAACTCCAGGGCCAGAGCAGGTTTAGATGCAGCCCTTTTTTATGTCAGCTTGGATAGGTTTGCACCCTTGATCAGAGTACGGAACTGTGTGGGGAGGAATCCGCAAACTCCAAGCTGATTGCTTTGTTGCGGTTTGTATAACTCTGCAGTACTCACTTGTCTGGGATTTTAAAAATCCTTGCGGGGGTTAGGGGGGGATGGCAATGCAGAAACACAATCGTTTTTGAATCAAAAAGCAACCAGCACCAAAGAAAGGGAGGGACTGAGCTTTGTAAGGGAGAAAATTAGGCCTTTTAAACATGTATTTTCTACCTCGCACAGAAAAGACAATTTTTTAAAAAATAAAGAAAAGATTCTTGGGGGGAAGTGGATACACACTGAAAATAAGGCGCAATTGTTCCCACTCAGGCAGTGCTGCCATTTCCAAAGTGTAATTTTCTGTAAGAATTGCTACAAAATTGTAAGCACATAAAACGGGGCGAGGGAAGCAACCTGGCCCAAGCCTCTGCTGGGCACTCCGGACTCCCCTGGCCCGGCCCAGGTCGCCTGCAGCACACAGCCACCCTCACGACCCGGCTGCTTTCCCACCCCCTGCCCTCGAAGGGACTCTGCCCAGAGGGAGGAGGCGTGCCGGGCGCTGCGCCCGCCCAAGCTGCCGGGGAGCGTCTGGGGAGCCGGAGGAGCAGCTCCCCGCTGGGAGTGCAGCTTTGCCTCGCCGTGTCCTGGCTGGTGTGCTTCCCTAAGGAAACCACTGCTCTCAAGGTGGGCAAGACGGAGCCCACGGGTCGGACCCCCCACTGGACGGAGTGGCACACCAGGATGCCCGTCCAGAAGCCTTCCTGAAGGCTTTTCCCCAGCCCCCTCTGGGGAGCGCTTTGCACATGGGCAGAGGACACAGAATCCTAGCCCAGTGAGGTCGGGGGTGGCTGGGAAGGCCGTCAGGTCTGACCCCTGCTCGAGGGAGGCCTCCAGTGCAAGCATCCCTGATGGGGGGCCGCCCCGCCACCCCCCGAATGCCTCTGGGGCAGGAGCCCCCCCACCTCCCCAGGGCAGGGGCTCCCTGTGTGCATGGTGAACCTGGACCCCCAGGGTGCAGCCGTGCGGTGGCAGGGGGGAGCTGGTGCGGGAGGGGCTTTGTCCCGGGCTGGGGGCTGGGAGCGCCATGTCTGCGGGAGTCACGGCGGAACAGGGCCGCCTCCTGCCGCGCCGCACCATCAGCGCAACAGATGCGGACTGCAGTGGGGCTCCGCGCATGATGCCAGGGGAGAGGCGTCAGGTGGAGGCACACGCACGCTTGGGGGTCTGACGCGACCCCTGCCGCTTCGCCAGGACCCGGAAATGCTCCACCGGAGCACCGGCCGAGCTGTAGGCCCTCCGAGGGGGACGATCCGGCTTCCCGGGTCCACAGCCCTTCTCTCCTCACAGCTAGGCAGCAAACAGCAGAGGTCACCTTGGAAGCCTCTGGGAGAACCGGTGCGCGGACGCATGCGCCTGGCACCAGCCAGCCCCCCACCCCTGAGCCCTCCCCGCCGGATGGCACGCGGCACGCATTCGGACATCTGCTAATCGCCTTCGTGCCCCCTCCCCCCTCCCCCCACGGTGAGGCCGCTCACAATGTGAAGTCCCACCTCCTCGCAGAGCGACCATGCGCCTGATCTCCGGGCGTTACAGCATGAATGCTGGAGGTGACATTAGCGCCTTCCGCGCCCTGCGTTCCTGCGGAGGTGAGCCGGGACTTGGCCGGGCAAAGCACTGCCCCCCTCCAGGCCCTCCGTGGGGCCTCGTCGTGGTGGGGAAGGGGCCCGGCCCAGCCCCTGCGCATGGCCACGGGGCTCTGCACACAAGTGCGCCCGCAGCCAGCCCCCCTGCCGCTGCTCTTCACGGGGACCTTGCCGGGAGCCCCAAGGACGGCACAGGGAAGCGGGGCTGGCAGGCGCTGCCCGCTCTGCGGAGGCGTCGAGGTGGCCCTGCCCATGCCGGGGACGCCCAGCAGCCGCCATCGTTTCCAGCTGTGGGACCGCGGCCGGGGGCGATGGGAGCGCACGCGGGCCAGGGAGGGCAGCCGCGGGTGGCCGGGGACGGCGGCTGAGCGGCTCTGCCCGCCCGAGCGCTGCCCTGCC